TACAAGTTTTTACCTCCACTGATTCAGACATTTAAGAAACAGAGCTTTGTTTCCTCGGACTCAATTTAATCTGTCTCTGCTATGCAGACATTTTAATCCAGCAATTTCCTGGCAAACTTAAGTTCAGTGATTCCTCATTCCTCATACAGCTTAAACACTCAGTCTTCACAAGGCTGTTCCTTTTCATCCCTCCCTCCTCTGGCCCTGGGGCTCGTGTTCAGTGGGGTGGCGGGGAGGCATGGTGGAGTGCGGGTGGGGTACACAGCCCGCAGATGTCATCCCTCCTGGGCCTTTGTGGGCCTCCTGCTCCAGAGAGAACTCTCTGTACCTTTGCCATGGCCTCGTCCATGCTGGCCTGTTAGAGGTGTTCTCTCCTCCCACTGTGGATCCTAGTCATGAGCTTCTGTCCCTGCTACATCTGAGGGGATGACCTCTGGTCACTCTGCATTGTCCTCAGCCCTGAACACCGGCTCCTCTGGACATGCCAGACTTCCCACAGCTTCTCTCACCCTTCCTGGAGCACAGGGAGTCTGTCTTCCCAGTCTGAGGCCTGTAGGTCTGCATATTCTGCATTACTGCCTGCCAGAGGCCAGGCCTGGGCACCCCCCGAGCTGGGATCTCCCAGAAAGGCTCGGTCCTCATCTGCCCTCTGCCTCAGTTTAGCAGGGTGAGGCCAGGACAAGGAGGACAATTTCCTAGTTCTCTGGCTTCCTCTCAACTGTCCTGCCCCCTGCTGGCTGTGTTGGTTGTTCTACTGACTTCACCTTCTTCTCGTCTTTTGGTATGACATAACTGGACTGTCTTTTGGCCTCAGAAGCTCAGGATTTGTCGTCTTTGTTCAGCCAAGGTGACACTCCCTGGTGTGTGATGGGGTTGTGAACTCCTCCAGGGGCAGGCCTCTTTTTGCTTTACCTGTGCCCAGTGCCTCAGGGGTCAGTCCACGTTCAGGGAACATGTGCTGAGAATGAGTGATCCCCAGGGCAGCCCTGGGCCCTCCCGGCCTTGCCGATGAGCGGGCAAGCCCAGGTCCCAGGGCCCCAGAGCAGGGGCTTCCTTCTTCCAGGGCCCTCAGCCCTCCTTCTCTTCCCTGCAGTGGGTGGGCGGACAGGCTCCCTGGTAGGGGCATGGCACACTCCGCCAGGCCTCTCAGGCATTTAAAACTTCAGCTCAGCTTTGTGCATACTGACAGGGCCCGGGCCCAGAGCCCAACCCCATGGGGAGAACACTGGCTTTCCCACAGCCGGGGGCTGGAGCAGAGAGGGCAGGCCGGCCAGCTTCGGGATGGTGCTCAGAGGCGTGGCAGAGGCCAGAGAAGGGGTCCTCCCCAGGCTTTACCAACAGAGGTGGAGGAGAAATGGGCAGTTTTCTCCTCTAGCCCATTTAGTTTCCTTCTCAAGACTGCTTCTGATAGTGGCAAGGAGGACTTGAAGCCTTTCACAGGGTGCCCCCAGGTGGTCTTTTGAGGAATCACACCCAGGCCACAGACTAGCAATTATTGCTGGCTCCAGCTGAACTGCTAACCTGTGAAGCCAGCGGCATCATAACCGTTTTAGCTGAGGCTCAGAGAAGTGGGATGACTTGCCCCAGCTCAATGAGACAGGAGCAGCTTCTGAACCAAGGTCTTTCCTGGTCCAAAGTCTGTGCCTATGTCCCTGTCCTGCAGCCTCTCTGGGAAGTTCTAAGTCCACAGAACCACGTCTCAAGAATTAAAAGGGCATATGGAGGTCCCTTGGTCTCATTATTGATCTGATGCATAAATCATCTCTGTCATCACCTCCCATACAATTTACCAGTCTCTGCTTGAATACTCCCATCAATAGTGAAATCATTACCTCATAAAGAATCCACAAGAATGCTGGACTGCTTTTGTCAATGGCATATTGTAGGGAGAAGGGGATAGTTACGGCCATTGAGAGCAGAAGGCAGACTTTAGCTGGAGATGCTCCCCTCTTCCCGGAAGAGGTAAGAAGGGTAAACCCCAGTCACCTGTGGTGACACTACAAGCAGACCAGCCTGCAGGATTTCAAGGTGATGCCTCCTGTACTACCTGGACCTGAGGCTACTCACAGCCTGGTCTTTCCCAGGTTCCCCGGATGAGGGTGATGTGAGGCAAAGTCTTAGGCTGAGGAGCCAGCTCAGGGTAGTAACAGCACTTGTAAGGCCTTTGTCTCCTTGTTGGAGTCAGTAATTCCTGCACTGCTTCCCCACAGGGCCGGCTGGAGAAGAGCTGTAGAGATGCGGGAAGCAGACAGGACAGTGTGGCATTGCCCTTTCACTGGCTGGGTGCTGTGATTCAGACGCAAATGTATACAGGCCGCTGGCCCTTTAGTACCCAGGGAAGTGGCCAGGGAGTACTGTGCTGGGACTGCACGGGACTGCTGGCTGCCAACTCCTGCAAGGCCTGGGATTGAGTCATGGCTCTTCTCTGCGCTGTGTTCTCCTTGACGTTAAGGTTTCTCCTCAAATTGGCAAGTTCCCTCCTCTCTGCTCCACACATCCTCTGACGTGGGGTCAATCACACTGCTATCTTCATGCTCTGACGCTTCCAGAGCAGGAGCCTGCTCATCAGTAGTTAGGAGCACGGCCCCTGGCACAGATGGACTGAGTTAGGAAGCTGTCAGGGAGCCTTATGGGACTGACCTATTCTGAAGGCTGGGCATGTGGGGTCTTCCCGGACCACCAATCACCACTAGCACCCTACCCACCGAACATCACCTCCTCTACAACATCCCATAGTCCGACTATCCAGGCAATGCTTGAATTCCTCCAGTGATGCCACACTGGTTCCTCTCATTTACGTAGAGCTCTGACAGTACAAAGTTCTTCCCAATGAGCCTTCTCTAGAGCTTCTACCTACTGGACCTTGTTTAGCCCAATAAAGCCATAAGGAGCAAGCCCAACCCTTCTGCAAGGGCAACTGTGGAAGCATCCGAAACAATCCTTCTATCCCTACCACCACCAAATCAGTACCTGCCAGCACATGGGCCCTCTGTACCCAAGACCCTTCCTCACACCATGGTCTAGTTTGCTATATGCCTCAAAGTACAGTAAACAGAACAGAGAGCATCAGACCACACGTTGTTAGAAATGGAAAAGTTTCATCTTGCAGCTTGGGAAACACAACTGTGCAGACAGGATGAGACCTGCAGGCTTACAGCACCTGAGCCTGGGATAAGGTTAACATTCAGTATGCACTGAATGCAAAGAACATAACGGTGCTTGGCGCAAAGACCCAGGGTTATGAGAAACTGGCACATACTCAGCAAGTGGCTTCAGGGCTGTAGCCCCCCCCACCCCAGGCTCCCACACGGGTGGGCAGACTCATGTCATCAGCCCCCAAATGATACTAAGTGTGCCTTTTTTTTTTTTTATTACCTACATGAAAACTGGTGTCCTTCTCTTCCTTTATCCTTTAAATGTAGGAGACACAGGAAATTGACCTATATCTGATGGAATCTGACTTCTTCTGAATGTTTTTTAAAAATATTAATATATCTATTGCACAAGGAACACCTGTGGTTACTACAGAATACACATAAGCAAAAAAACCCTAAAATTAGCTATAATTCTACCACTTAGAAATAAGTCTGAAGTGGGCCTCTTGTAGACAGCATATACATGGATCTTGTTTTTGTATCCATTCAGCAAGACTGTGTCTTTTGGTTGGAGCATTTAATCCATTCACATTTAAGGTAATTATCGATATGTATGTTCCTATTACCATTTTCTTAATTGTTTTGGGTTTGTTTTTGTAGATCCTTTTCTTGTGTTTCCCACTTAGAGAAGTTCCTTTAGTATTTGTTGTAGAGCTGGTTTGGTGGTGCTGAATTCTCTTAGCTTTTGCTTGTCTGTAAAGCTTTTGATTTCTCCACCAAATCTGAATGATACCCTTGCCGGGTAGAGTAATCTTGGTTGTTGGTTCTTCCCTTTCATCACTTTAAATATATCTTGCCACTCCCTTCTGGCTTGTAGAGTTTCTGATGAGAAATCAGCTGTTAACCTTATGGGAGTTCCCTCGTATGTTATTTTTTGTTTTTCCCTTGCTGCTTTCAATAATTTTTCTTTGTCTTTAATTTTTGTCAATTTGATTACTATGTGTCTCAGCGTGTTGCTCCTTGGGTTTATCCTGTATGGGACTCGCTATGCTTCCTGGACTTGGGTGGCTATTTCCTTTCCCATGGTTAGGGAAGTTTTCAACTATATATAATCTCTTCAAATATTTTCTCTGGTCCTTTCTCTCTCTCTTCTCCTTCTGGGACCCCTATAATGCGAAAGTCTTTGCGTTTAATGTTGTCCCAGAGGTCTCTTAGGCTGTCTTCATTTCTTTTCATTCTTTATTCTGTTCTGCAGCAGTGAATTCCACCATTCTGTCTTCCAGGTCACGTATCCGTTCTTCTGCCTCAGTTATTCTGCTATTGATTCCTTCCAGTGTAGTTTTCATTTCAGTTATTGTATTGTTCATCTGTTTGTTTGTTAATTCTTCTAGGTCTTTGTTAAACATTTCTTGCACCTTCTCGAACTTTGCCTCCGTTGTTTTCCCGAGATCCTGGATCATCTTCACTATAATTATTCTGAATTCTTTTTCGGGAAGGTTGCCTATCTCCACTTCATTTAGTTGCTTTTCTGGGGTTTTATCTTGTTCCTTCATCTGGTACATAGCCCTCTGCCTTTTCATCTTGTCTTTCTGTGAATGTGGTTTTTGTTCCACAGGCTGCAGGGCTGTAGTTCTTCTTGCTTCTGCTGTCTGCCCTCTGGTGGATGAGGCTATCTACGAGGCTTGATGGGAGGGACTCCTAAGTGTGCCTTTGAATCCAGGCAGAATCCTTCACGAGCTAAAGGCTGAATTCAACTGGCAAACCAAAGAATAAAGTCCACAGGGAGACGAAACTACTGAGACCATTCTGACCTGATTGATGGCAGCAGCTGCTACGTACTGCTCTCAAGGCAAAAGCCTCAGGGGTTCTCATGGTGACATGTAAAAGACGACTCAGACAACTGTAGACATGCATAATCTTTAGTATGGCCATGCTCCTAACAATTTACACACATTGCCCAGCACTTTCATTCAAGATCACGTATTTTCTTCAAGGGCTAATTATAAATAACAGCCACCACTTATTAAGCATTTATTATGTGCCAGGCACTGTGCTGGTGCTCTTCATATACAACTTCAATTAATCCTCATGATCCTATAAAATAGAAACTATATTTATAGATAGGAAACTTGTATCCAAGATTAAGTAGTAAATAGCGGAAGGCAGAATTAGCCACAGGCCTATAGGGCTCAGGCCTGTGTTCTGAACCCCCATTTGCTATGCTGTTTCAAGACCCGGAGGCCCCGTGTCCTCATCTTTGCTTAGGAGGCCAGTGATGGCGTAGATGTCATCCTGGTCCCTGGGCCTCTGCTCCAAGCTCATCACCTCTCTTGGGTCTCCAATGCAGGGTGGTACTGAGGCTCTGAAACAGAGTCCTTCAAGCATGATGGAGAGAGCTGCTTTATTAAATGACGTCCTCATGGACGGGCAACCTCCTAGAGGAGGAGAATCTTTCCAACTACCTTGCTTCCAACTTCAATCTCCAATTGCTTTTCGTCACAGCTTGCTTTCTTTCATACTAATAAAACAGTTAAGACAATTCTATCCATTTTGTTTTATTTGTTAAACTGCTAAAAAGTCATTGGGGAAAACATAAACAAAAAATAAAATCGACAGAGATTTAAATATCAATGAAATCAAATCCACTTTTCATTCCTACACTGTTATGTGCCTAAAATGATCATCTCAGGGTAAGCCACCCAGGACCCCTGAGCTGTATGGAAAACATCACTCACAGCACCAGCTTCGTCAGGGCACAACAGGTGTGCACTGACATGAACCCTGGTTGGTGGGAAGGGAGCAGAGCGAAGGAAAGAGAGAGTACAGTGGAGCCAATGCCTAAGGGTTGCTTTCATTTGACAGTGAACATGGTGGAGGGAGCCACTTACTGGTGACCATGCAGAACATGCCTTCTGCAGTTCATGGGGAGGCTGCATGGGGTACAGGCTTTGAAGTTCGGCTTCCTTGCCCCTGGGTGTGTTCAGATCCTCCCCACTGACTTGTGCGCTGGTAAGAGACCACAGATAATGCAAAGCAGAGCACATCACCATACCAGGATCATTACAAGGACAAGGACAGACAGACAAACCAACCAGGAATGTCACTCTGAAGAAGCAAAGCAGAAGGAAATCCAGAAAAATAAAGTGAAAGGAAAAGGAAGCATCCCTTTGTTCTCCATCAGCTGGTGGCTTTCTGTCCTCCAAAGTCAAGACTTCAGTTGCTTTTCTTTCTTCTTCCTCTTCTTCTATTTTAAAGAGTTTGGACACCGTTCCTAGGATAGTTCATGGTTTCAGCTCTTGATAGAAAACTCAAATATTAAAATGAAATCAATCTCCAGAGGGCTGGGAGGAGAGTAAGCCCAGTATTGCCTTACAACTAAAATTTAAGTTTGTTTTGATACCAAATGTGTGCTTCCAAATGTATGGTGGGTGCGGTGGGTGGGTGGGTGGTGGTTTGTGGAACCCACCACCGAAGTGTAGCAGCAGGGCAGAAACATGAGCAAAAATACAGAACCCTCTCTGCTGCACAGCCTGCAAAATGAGAAAACAGGAAGCTCTGTTCAAGAGGATGGGAAGAGACTAAAATTCTCACGACGTCAATGAGGTGGCCAGTGGAGTCAATGTGACATGGGGGCTCTCAAAGGCACACTTGCAGGAATGGAAGGGGGTTAAAGCTTCAAGTAGAAACAAAATGTATTTTAAATACTTAAATATGGATAAATATTTACTTTAGGTGCTCCTGAGGGTTTAAAAAAATATTTTGCCTCATTTTCCTCAGTGAATTTTAAGACAAAGTCGGCATCATGTCAAAACCAGAGCTGTGGTTAAATCTGATCTGACTGAAGCATCCATGGCGCCGTGGAAATGGTCACCTCAGCTGAGACGCCTGAAGTTCCACTGCATGGGGCGGCTTCACAAGGGCCGGAGGAGACAGTCACCTTGACTATGTTGAGTCACTCTCCCAAGATACACGGCCACAACGCCCAGGAGCCACCAGGACCCACACCACCAGGTGCGGAAGAGGCAGATTCTTCTTCAAGAGCTGTAAACAGACAGTCTGGTTCCAAGTGGCGTGGGTAATGCTGGGATGCCATGGAGTTCCGAGGAGCCAGGTTACTTTCTAAGAGAATCATCATCTCTGTTGCCTGCCTACTTGGGGAAAGTAGAAGGAATCAACAAGTTAACAGCTGGCTTAGGAAGGCCACAGGACAAAAGGAAAGATTACAAAGTTGAGATTCTGAACTTGCAGGCTTCCAAATACTTTATATTTAAGTAGGAAGTGAGTTTGGAGGCACTGTCCATGCACAAATGCAATGTCATAAACAAGGTTCAGCAATAGTAGTAATGCCAAAATTGCTGATCTTCTAGGCTAGCTTTCTCTTGTGAATAAGGACCCCCACACGATCAAACAGTCTTTGCCAAAGAAGGACTGGCAACAGGCCCAGAGCAGAGAGTCTGGAAAGCTAAGTGCTGAGCTCTGAGCAGTTGGACACCACAGTAAGTAGGCACATGGTAGTTTCCTCATCTAAGGGAGCACATAGAGCAGTTTCTGGAACACATACCCCTCCCCATGAGCTGGCCCTTTCCTGGGCTTGGCACCAGGGGCGCTTTCCCACCAAGACCACATTGTAGAGCTAATGGCTAGGGGAAAGGATTTAACATGACGTTAACAGGAGAAAACAGACTTATCAGACAGACTGCTAAGAGCTGGCTGAGAGCCAGGACCCAGGGCCAGCTGTAGCAGGCTTGCGCTTGGGAAATGCTAACAAGAAAAAGGGGAGTGTGGGGATGAGAAATGCCGTGTTTTGAAATTTAAACCCTAAAGGCAAAATAAAAATCCTCTTTCTACTGATGAGAAATCACCAAAAAAATCCACATTTAAGTGGTGCCAATGTCTCCTATGTCCAGGCCGTGGTTTAGAGACTGGTAACTTGTAATTTCCTGTGTCAACCAAAGAACATGCTCTGGTGGGTTACACCTTATCTCAGAAATGACATGAAAGTAAAAACCCAAGCCTTGTTTGGGTGACAGGTAAACATGACAATGACAAAGAAGGAGCTGCTCCCAAGGTCAGCCACGCATCAGAGAGGCCAAGCACATGATATTCAACCCAATCACCAGTCAACAACCAGGCAGAAAAATGCGTGTCACAAACAAGGGCAAAAGTCATTTCTAGAAGGAACCGTTATTGGGATTCTCTCCCAAGATCCATTTCCACGTTCCATAAACATGGATGGGTGTGTCCAACGTGCTTTGGAAATAAAAAGAAGCCCGTAAGGTAAAACAGTATCTTTTGATGCTTCAAGGATTTCTCATGATACTGGCATCTCAGAATTCCCTACTGGTCCCCTAGTGACACCAGAAAATGGATTCCAGAAATATTTCTAAGAGATTTCTCTGGGCACCCAAGCTTAATAAAAGAAAGTGCGAAAGGTTTTAGGGCTTAAAAAATCCACATATTAAAGAAAAAGAGGGAGGGAGGGAGGAAGGAGGGAAGAAAAGCAGCCTATAAATAGCAAAGGCAGCCTCTGAGGATCAGGTTTTAAGGGAAAGAAAAAGAGAACAAATGTGGTTTTTGGCAACTGCAACGAAATATGATTGTCAGAAAATTCCACAATCAGACACCAGAATGTTTTCTGAAACATGGAGAGAGCAAAAACCAATGGACACTAGGTGTTTCTGCATAAACTTTGTTTCACGATGATCCCGGCACACAAACGTGGAACAAAATCCCTTGTTGGGTAACTTTCCTCAGTCACAAAGAGCAGAATAGGGCCAGGCACAGGGCATTACTGCAAAGAGAAGTTTTCACAGGTCCTCTGCGGGCGGGGCAGGGCGGGGAGAAGAACAGTTTTCTACAGGTTACTTTTACCCTGCCAGCCCCTGAAGCATGGGAATCTGAAACCTCTAGTCGTGCATCTTACACATGCCCTTTCTTTTTCTAACTCTAAGAAGGCCAAATAAGATTTACAGGTGGCTCTTCAGTTTCTTTAGTAAGGTTCTGGTATTAATCTATTCCCTAAATTCTTGGTCTAGTTATCAGCAAAGTAGAAAAAGGCAGCACAGCCTCTGCTAAAACACAGCAACAATTTTATCTGAACCAGGACGGAGATCTCTCCCTCTTTGTAAACAGAGTTGGCTATATAATATATATTTATATAATTCTTTTCTTAATGGAGATTTGATCCCAGCCTGGAGTGAGTGAGGTTGGGAATTGGGGTTTGGTTTATGAGAGTAATTTTGTCCCTTGTTTTCTCAATTCTCAGTCCAAATGCTTGCACGCTGGAAAATTCCAAATTAAAAGCCACAGGAAGGGAAAGGGTTTTAGAACATATTATCTCTTTGCTCGCACAAAGTACAAGGCGTTTGTTTTTGGATAGTACTTCACATTCTGCTTCTTGTCCATGAGTCCTCCAAATATGATGAGTTCGCCCCTGCCTTGTACCACTGTATGCAGGCTGGTTTCGGGAGGTCCAACCACAGAACTGCTATTAAATACTTTCCATTTGACTCGCCCCTTCTCCTTGGTGTCTTTAATGTCCAGCACGTACATCTGCATGGGCTTGCAGTTCATACTCTGGTACAAGGGTTTGCCAACATTTAGGGACTGTGGAGGGTGGTGGCCCAGGCGCCGGGCAATGGGAGGTAAGGAATGTCCATCTCCTTGGGCAGGCCCTGGGCGGGGAACGGGCACTGTTTCTCCACTGCTCAGGTTCTGGCTCCCAGGGGAGCCTGGAGAAGACCCCAGAGGAGGACTTAGTGCTGCGGAGGCTGGGGGGCCTTTGGACGACATTGCTTTGATGGCTTCTAGGCTCCGACGCAGGGCACCTGGGGAAACTGCTCCTGCAAGGGCACTGGCCACGTGCGGTGGGGTATGCACACCATTTGTCTGTTCAGGAGGGTGTCTCAAACTTCCCCCAACTGTTCTGTTGTCCACACCATCCATGTGACTGCTACTGGAAGCAGGTTTCGGATCCCAGTTCAGATCCATTGATGCCAATCTTAGATCTTTCTGATCTGGTAGTGACCCTCGTCGGGGGGCCAAAGAAAGTCCCATTTTTAGGTCATATCCTTCAGTGGTAGATGGAGTGCTAGGAGATATAGCCTGTACAGGACTGTCCAAGGAAGAGCCACCTACAGCTGCTGATCCTGGAGATAAGTTCCCACCATTGAGGATGGGAGAGCCATCGCCTCTGGCTGGGGAAAGGCTTCCTTCTCGGGAACTTGAGGGGGTCTGTCTTTGCGCTCTGGGCCTCAGTGTTCCCCAGCGGCCGTTAACACAGGGAGCTTCATCCATACTCCTTACCGGAGACTGAGAGCGGTATTCTCGAGGTTCGGGAACTAGGGCTGGAGGAGTGGCACTGATAGGTGATGGGCGAGAGTTCAAACTGGGGCTGAGTGGGGCTCGCCCACTAGGAGCCTGGCTGAAGACCACCACGCACTGCCCTACCTGGAAGACAAAAAACCTGTGCTCAGTTCTGATCACTCATTTAACCATCAAACGTTTTATCATGAGCATCTGGGATGTGCCACATGTTTTGTAGGTACCTGAGATGTAGAGGTGAAAAGATTGCAGTCTGCCCTCTAGGCTAGATGTGGGGATAGATGGGAACAATTTGTTGCTACAGGGAGACATGTGCTACCATTTGAATTATCTCTACAGAATAGGGGTAGAGTGGAGGAAGGAATCAAGTATTTGTTTGGGGGACCCTGGGGCAAGTTTTAGAGACAAAGAGATGCTTAAAGCTGGGGCTTAAAGGATAAGTGGGGCCCATGTTAAGTTTTTCCACCTAGTGGCTCATGTATGTGAGAAATACCCAAAAAGCTATGGTCAATGTCCACCTCTTTTGTGACATCAAGGGGTTTTCAATTTCCATACAAAGTTTCTTGGAAATCTGATGAGTTAATCTGGCTTTAGAGTTTAGGACTCTCCTTCTGCTGGCCTGTCAGCTCCCTACTTACTCGGCAAGCTGGATGGCACCACAGTTCTGGGGCCCCATGGTCTTCATTTTCCACCTTGAGTGGTTGCCAGGCCCAGGGACCTGAGTGCACGTGCAACAACCAAGCATCCTTGAACAGCTGTAAGAGAAGCACCAGCAACAGGCCTCAGGTGTGGCACACGCCACGAACACACACACACACAGAGCTGGAACCTCAAAGTTGTGCTGCCTGTCATAGAGTGTGTGAATTCGTCAGAAAGAATAGCAAAATCTCTAGCCATTCATTCATTCATATATTACCACTGGCCTGGCACGTGAAATTGTACTTGTGACCCCATGAATCAATTTTAAGTGGTTTTGAATTTTGCCTGTGGTTTTATGTGTGTATGTGTACACTGATGAAACGGTAGATAATATATATCCAGCATGTCTGAATCTGCATTCTTTTTTTTTTTTTTTTTTTGTGTGGTACGTGGGCCTCTCACTGCTGTGGCCTCTCCCGCCGCGGAGCACAGGCTCCGGATGTGCAGGCTCAGTGGCCATGGCCCACGGGCCCAGCCGCTCTGCGGCATATGGGATCTTCCCGGACCAGGGCACGAACCCATGTCCCCTGCATCGGCAGGCGGACTCTCAATCACTGTGCCACCAGGGAAGCCCTGAATCTGCATTCTTAAATAAATTCCATGTGAACTCTGGCCATTATCCACCTGCTTTTCTGTCCCACCCATCCTTGAAAAAATAACAGCAGCAAACCTTATAGCCCAAAGACTAAGTGGGAGTTAGGAAGACTTTAGATATGAATATTCAATAGACGAATGTCTCTGATGAAAAGCTTCCCTCCGCAAAAAGAGAGTGGAGAAGAAGGCCAGAAAATACAAAGGCTACATACCCAAAGTGGAAAAGGTATTTTCTAAATAAAAATGCTATAGAAATGGCCTTGTACACTTTTACAAGATGAGACAGGGGAAGCAAGTTTTGAATACTTAGCAGCATGTGCATGGGAACGCCATACCAGCAATACTCACAGCATTGGGACCACCACACCCTCCAAGGATTAAAATAGTTGCATCATCTATGACAATCTGGGGAGATGAAGAAATTTAAAATAAATCTACAAAGACACAGGCATCTGACCTCCTGTACTTCAGTGGTAAATGAAAATAGTCTACTCAGCTCCCAAATGAGAGTATTCTATTTACCATAAGATCCCCATTACCCAAACCATGTCAATTCTGATCCTTGTAAACAAATTACTGATGATTCACCTGAATGGATTCTTTGTTGATCAAACATTATTAACATGAGAGTGCCAACCATATAAAATGCAGGGTTCTCTTGAAAAATAAAAAAGCAAAGTAAATGCTTTCAGGAGAGGCATAATATAAAGCCAACAAAAATAATGATAAGCCATTAGAAGTTGAAAAATAAATACCAGCAAGAAAGAATGATAAATTCTCTTTGGCTTATGTATGTTGGCATCTTACCTGCCTCCCTCCTCCCTCTCCTGCCCTAACTGAAAGATGCTACAGTGTTTGCTGAATAGTTATTTTAATTTCTGAGCACCTGAGATTGGCCACCTCGAGGATGAGGACTAGGGCCAGAGATGTTCGGCTTGGACCACGCCCACTGCTCAAGGTCAAGGACCCAGACGTCGTTGCTCCTATAAGACAAGGACAAAAGAATGAAGCAGTTGGGAGCTCTCAGGGACCACAAGAACTGATATAAATGAAGTTACATTCATAAGGATGCCCCCCAAGAGTGCCATGCTCATAGCTAGCACTCAACTATATTTTTCTTCTCCTCCTTTCCCTGGAAAGGAGAGCTTCAAACCTTTGCTCTTTCCATTGACCCATAAGGCCTCATTTGAGTCATGTCTGTAGCCAAACAATAATACCTAAAGTTAGAGTTAATTAATTGGTGATAGCAGGAAATAGATACTAGTCATGATATAGTCTTTCAAAGGCAAAACCCACAAGGAAGAGAAAAAAATTATTCAAAAGGCAGTTCTATCATTGTCCAGGAGATAAAGATTTATTGACTTTGGCTACAAAAGGTAATTTCACCATGGCTAATGAAAGCTGCAGTTTTATCAAGGACAAATTGGCATCTCCAACCCTCAAGGGACCAGTATGGCACGGACAGACTCCTAAATGGCAGTCTCTATTTTACGGTCCCCTCTCTATGGTCTATGACCTCTCTATGGTCAGTTATTCACACACAGAAACACAGGAGGAAGAGCTCCAATACCTTAAGCCCTAAACCCTCTCATCTGGAGGGTAGAGCTCACATTGTCTCCTCCATACCGTTCTAAAATAAGAAGATGGAAAGTACCCTGAGGGGGAACAGGGTTGGATCTGGAATGGTTTTATTGCTGACAGCTCATCAACTTCCATTTCAAAGCACAGAGGAAACGACCGCTACTGCTGCTAACGCCAAAGCAGATACACAGTGATTCACAGACTCTGCTCTGGGCCTGGCCTGGGCTGGCCAGTCGTGGCCAGAGGTGGAGGGCAGTGGGCAGGGAGAACCACCTCACAGGGGATGTCAGGCCTGACACAGTTTTCTTGCTCCTACCCATGCCCTCAATCCATCCTATTTGGAGAGTGAACCATTTCCACCTGTCCTGTCAATCGACCTCTCTCCTTCTCTAAAGCTGGGCCATAAAGGAGAAGAAGGAAAAGTACTCTGCTTCTTGGAGGGTGGCCTTCTGTAGGCACAGGTAGAAACAGACAAGGCGGAGGCCCCATCAGAACTTGATCCCACTGAACTGAACCACATATCAAGCAAAACAGAGATTCTACACAGCCCTGATTCTATGGAGCAAGTTTTTCAACTTATTGGTCTACGACTAGAATCAAAAAATGGAATACTAGGGGGAGAGATAATTATTGGATTAATTAGAACCATGCTCAGGAATACTGACCCTGACTAGTTTACTTTTCTGACCTAGTTTACTCTTCCAGGAGTATTTACGTTCAGGTTGACAGCGAGCAAACCAAATATACTTACATCTGCCGGGATCCTAGGGAGCCACCAAAGACAATCATTTTATCGTCTATCACACAAGAAGAATGCCCAGCCATGGGAGGTGGGCCATGGGTTGTCACAATGCAGTTCCACCTAATACAGAAAGACAGGAGGAAGCCAAGAAGTCAGCCCCTCTGCTTCTGGTCTTATGTGTTTAAGGTGGAAAACAGTAAGCAGGCTTCCATTTAAAATGACAATCCTATCACCTTCAGTAGAGAAACTGTTAGGATAATATATGGAGGATGCCACAAGGTATTTATGCCTTTTCTACGAATCTGCTAGCGTTATGTACACTTTCAGCTTCTCAATGTGTATGGCTTGGAGGTAGAGTGATGAGAAAACAATGACAAGGGATTCCACTATGGTTCCTTAGCTGCTTCGGACTAGTTTGCTGAAGGAACACCACCTGCTATTTCTTCCTAGAGGCCTGATCTGATCAGTGGCGGCCGCCAAGAGCCCTGTACTAAGTAGTCCATTACAAGGAACAGAGGTTACTGTCATTTAAAAAAGACAAGTTTGTAAAACAACTGGGAGTCAGTCTTGGGGACAAAGCAGGGAGTAAAGAATCATCTGGGTCCACAGCACTCCTGGGGAGTCAGTAGCCAAAGCTGAAGAGCTCTCTATTCTTCAACTGTCTCATTCATTTTTCTTGGAAGAGGAATAAATGTCTTCTACATTTTCTCTTTGGAATAAGCGTTCTTAACTTCAAGTTTTAAGGGGGTCCTGTAAACCCTCTGAAACTGTAGGCAAAATCTGTGCATATGTAAAAATTTTGTTTTTCTGGGAAAAGAGTCCAAAGCTTTCATCAAATTCTCAAAGAGATTCCTGGACACACAAAAAAAGGTAAGGAATCCAAACATTTTAAATCTTCTACTCCAGATTGAAAGGACCTTATCCTTGTGGCTTACCAGTTTTTAGAGGGTGAGTAAGTATGTATTTCATCAAAGAACCTCTCTGGTTGGTGTAGGGGGTAAGGGCTTGGCCGTGTCCAACCACCAAACAGCACCAGCAGGTCCTTGTATACAACCAGAGTCGCGCCAGCTTTGGGGGAAGGATAGGACCCTGGGAGAAGTCAATAACAGCATGGTTAGGATTCAGGGCCTCACAAAAAACCATAAGTAGGCTGTCTATAGATCACCTTTTCCTGGAAGAGTGGCAAAACAGGAACCAATACTACAAAGCATAAGGGAGAGGAGGAGACAAAACTGGGTTTGCAGGTCTGAGAGAAAACCATCCCCAATTTATACGTCTTTTATAACTGAAGTAAAGAAACCTGAATTAGAGGAAAGTTACTTAGTCTCTCTCAGGCTTAGTTTGCTCACCTGAAATTAGGGATGAGCGTATATATCTCATAAGGTTGTTTTGAGCATTAAACAGTATATTCAAAGCACCTAGCACAGTGCCGGGCACATAGCAGGTACTCAATAAATGTTGACTCTCCTGTCCGTCCCTTCAATAAGCTTAACAGAGATCACAAACGAAAGCATGTAAAGGATCCGGGAGGAGTATATATAGAGGCTAGATACAACTTAAAAATAACTGCTGCTAACAAACATAGGTTAAAAAAAAAAAGGAGGCAGAATGCAGTTCTCATTTGTCCTATAAGTCAAATGTTAACATAGCGACCTTTGGGCCCCTAGCTATGGGCCTCGCTAGCACAATGGAAGCGGACTTTCAAGGCTTGATATGAAAGCATTCCAATGAAACTGCAGCCAAGAGTGGCTACTAAGGCCCTCCAGGCTGGACCTCTGAGCCACGATTTCAAATTTCAAAACAATAGAAATCTGGCTTATGCTGGAAAACTGTACAGCTAACAAATGTCCCACAGGAGCATCATTTGTCAGAGCTTCTTGTCTTTGAAACAATAACTATTTCTCCCAATCTCTTACTCTACCTGCCACCTTTAGTTTGCTTAAGACCAAAGTAATTTGTCTCATCCAGTATTTACTAATACTGGAATATTAAAAAGAATTTTTTTTGTTGTTAAAGCTACAGGATCTATTTTTCAAAGGAAATCTTAAGCAGAAAGAAGCCCAGCAGTATATTAACATGATAGCTGTTGAGGTGCTCCAATTTAAGTGGATAACTTGGCCTCCCCCTTCAGCAAGGGGTATGGGAACACAGTTTGAAAAGCCCTACTCAGTCTGCTTTAATGGTGTCGATTACACAGTCCTGAGGTTGAGAAGGTGGAGAAGAGGACTGTCTTCCCTGGGATGCAACTTAAGAGTAACAACATGAGGAAAGTCCCTGGCAGTTTAGCGGTTAGGACTCTGTGCTCTCATTGCTGAGGGCCTGGGTTTAACTCCTGGTCAGGGAACTAAGATCCCACAAGCCTCGTGGTGTGGTTAAAAAAAAAAAAAAAAAAAAAAAAGTAACAACATGATTTACTAGGAAGGTACCGGCACTCAGAATATGGAGTGAGCATCAGATATTTTGAATACTTTTCTAATAGAACACACATCAATCCAGACCAGGATCTGACCACAGAAACAAGTCTTCTCTAGGAATGGTTCTTGCTGAGACACTAGGTGAAGTATTCCATGAGTCAGTTCTTGCTATCCTCATATCTCACAGGAATCACGACTAAGGGGGCTACTCATGATATGTTGTCTTTCACACAATCTCATGATTTCTGGTTAAAAACTTTTGCCCTCCTAGGAGGAAGCCTCCTAGCCCAACTAGAAAGCCTAACTAATACAACAGTCTAGTTAAAATGCTAGTGTTACCCCCAAATGATTTAATTTGTGAAATACCAAACAAAGCTTCAAGTTCTTGCCCCTACTTTGGAACTCCTAAGTACTGTGAAAAAGTTGGAAAAAGCTAATAAAATATGTAACAGACTTCAGCAGAGTAGTAGCTTAAAAACTTTCCAGACTAAAATTTGGATTTGAATTTGAGATACTGGAAATCCCAGCTTTTAAATTGAGTGTATAAAGTGAAGAAGCAGAGAATTCCCTGGTGGTCCAGTGGTTAGGATTCTGTGCTTTCACTGCCGAGGGCCCAGGTTCTATCCCTGGTTTTTGAACTAAGATCCCGCAAGCGGCAAGGCGCACCCTCCCCGCCACAGAAAAGTGAAGCAGCATACCAAGGTTCCCCCAATAAGCAAAACATGGAAACAAACAAAAATAGGATTTTTAACTTAAAATGAGCAGTTTGTATCAAAAAAGTTTAAGTGCATATGCTTTGAATCAGAAATTCCATTTCTAGGGATTAATCTAACAAGATAGCTGAGCAAATGAAAAAAGAAAAGATACAAGGATGCTTATTTGCAGTGTTTAAATAGATCAAGGAATATCCATATAAAAGAGTGGTTGGGAAAATTAAATGACTTAAATCACATAATGCATTTAGGACAGTGCCTGGTATTGTTATTATCATTGCTAAAGCAAATTAATACGACGTTAATCCAGGTCAATTGGCCACAGACATCTGATAGTATTGCTTTCTACACGGCACAAAGTTTATGAGAACAGAACTGAACTGGTGGACATATTTAACTACTACAATATGATTACAGTATTCCTGGCAGAGTAACTATTTAGCTCAAGAAAGTACAATAGAAATGAAATTGTAACTGATGCTACATGATATGAAAAGGAGGTCTTCCCAAGTCCCAGAAGGGTAACTCAAATATACCGAACTATGATTTGGAAACAAAAACCAATGGTTAACATGATAAGACTAGTTAGGGTTTGCTCTTTCATGTGTACTATGTATTTCCTATAATATCTTTTGAAATAAATTACCAATACTTTACGAGGCAAGGCAAACCAATGTTTACCACTGCTGGGTGTAAAGAGATTACAAATGCAGTATAAGAATACATACCTCTTAAGGGGAAAAACTAGTCATAGAATCAAAAAGAGTGTTTGTAAAACATAACAACATGTAAAATCAAACCCAAGTAAAGACTATACTTTAGACCTGCATGCCCAACACAGTCACCATTTAGCCACATGTGCTAGTGACTACTGAATTGGAAAGTATAGATACACAACATTTCCAGCATTACAGAGACAGTACTACTTTAGACAAACGATTTTAACTTTCTAAATTCTATGCCTATGTTCACAGGGTATGGGGAAGGTGGTAGGGATGGATGGGTGACCTGACTGACTTTTAAGAGAAATTACAATTACTGCTACTTAAAACTATTACTGGGACTTCCCTGGTGGTGCAGTGGTTAAGAATTTGCCTGCCAATGCAAAGGACACAGGTTTGAGCCCTGGTCCGGGAAGCTGCCACATGCCGCAGAGCAACTAAGCCCATGTGCCACAACTACCGAGCCCATGTGCCACAACTACTGAAGCCCGTGTGCCACAACTACTGAAGCCCGTGCGCCTAGAGCCCATGCTCTGCAACAAGAGAAGCCACTGCAATGAGAAACCCGTGCACCACAATGAAGAGTAGCCCACACTCGCTGCAACTAGAGAAAGCCTGCGTGCAGCAACGAAGACCCAACGCAGACAAAAATAAAATTAATTAATAAAAAATAAAGTTAAGACTTAAAAAAAGCCTATTACTACTGCTACTAATGATAATGACTAATATTTACTGAGCATTTATTATATGCTAAGCACATTTCTAAGTACTCTGCATGTATTAAGTAATTTAATCCTTCCAAAACTCTAGTTTTACCTCCATTTTATGTTTTTTTTGTTTTTGGCCATACCACACAACATGTGGGATCTTAGTTCCCAGACCAGGGATCAAACCCGTGCCCACTGCAGTGGAGGTGTGGAGTCTTAACCACTGGACCACCAAAGAAGTTCCTTTATTTTCATTTTACAGATGAGAATACCGAGGCATAGCTTATACTCATTCTCTAGATTGTTCTCATGCACACAGACACATTCCTTCTGAGTAGTTACCACAGACAAGTCAGGCACCTCAAAAGGTCTGAGTGTTTCAAAGTTGAAAAAGTTCTTTCCTAAATCTTTTTTTTTAAGTTCCTTTGTATTAAAAAAAATTTTTTAATTGAAATATAGTTGATTTACAACCTAAATCTTTATTTTCTTTCTTTCTTCCTTCCTTCCTTCCTTCCTTCTTCCTCCCTCCTTCCCTCCCTCCATTCTTCCTTCCTTCCTTCCTCCCTCCCTCCCTCCCTCCCTCTCTCCCTTTCTCTCTCTCTCTCTTTCTCTCTCTCTCTTTCTCTCTTTCTTTCTTTCTGCGGGCCTCTCACTGTTGTGGCCTCTCCCGTTGTGGAGCACAGGCTCTGGACGTGCAGGCTCAGCGGCCATGGCTCACAGGCCCAGCCGCTCTGCAGCATGTGGGATCTTCCCGGACCAAGGCACGAACCCACGTCCCCTGCATCGGCAGGCGGACTCTCAATCACTGCGCCACCAGGGAAGCCCTACAACCTAAATCTTAATTAATTAAAGCCACAGACCTAGAACAGACAGAGAGATAAGTAAATTGAACAGAAGGCTATTCTTAGGATCTCTTTTCCACAAGGCTCTGGGTCACACTCTACCTCTAACATAGACAGGACCCTTTATTTGTTCTCCGGGCTCTCCAAAGAAAGTAAACTGGGACCAGTGACAATGATAAATCAATCCTTAAGGATTATCTTAAATAAGGGCTTCCTGAAATGACTTCTCAAATATCTTGACCTTTAAGAAAGCCAAAAAATTTCCCTCTACTCCTTATCCAAAGAAGTAGGAGAATCCTCTCATCCAAAATTTCCAAGGTCTGTTTTGTCACATATGGAAGCTTTAATTTCAGCATCATACTATCTTGACAGCTATACAGAGTCATACTGAAAAGTTAAATTGTGCTTCTCCACCTCAATTTATAAGGAAAGTGGGGGGAAAATTACCCTACAGGAACAAATGAAGCAGGGGGGAGGAGGGCACAGAATTCAATATACAACCTCTGTACAGTTGGTGCAGCAACAAGAGGTCAAAGACACTGGTGTGTCAAATTTTCTGTGACCCAATCATGCACGTAATGCTATTTGTTGCAAATTGGATACTTTAAAATTCCTGTTACTTGAAGAAATCAATATTGTAAAGCCTTTGCCAAGAGCCCCTAATTTTATCATTTTTAAAATTTACATATTT